AAATCTTAGTATTGTCAAGATCAGTATAGAGATAGTCTGAAATTAAAAAAAAATCAAGACGCGCCTTTTTAATGGGATTTCTTCTAAACCAAGTGTATTCTCTTTTTTCAATATTATTTTCCTCCAACAATCCATTAAGTTATACTTTGATATTAAAGAAAGAACTTTGTCACGTGCATTAGGGTTATTCAAGTGCAAATAATTAAAAGAATCAGCATCTGGATTTAAAACTAAATTAAAGTCTCCAGCAAGAATGAATATGGTGTCTTCAAACTTTGACATTTTTTCTGAGACATTTTCATAGAAATTTGGATTGTCCCTATTTGGGCCATAAATATTAACAAGAGTTATATTTTTGTCACAAATACTACAATTAAGTATAAGTAAATTTCCTTCAAGATCTTTTTCAATACTGATCAGCTTATAATCAAAATTATTGTTAATAAAAATTGCAACACCACGTGATTGACTATTAAAATTTGAAAAATAGGTTTCGTATCCCCACATAGAACGTATATATTTTTCCTCTTTAGTGGAGAAGTGAGTGTCTTGTAACATACAAATTGAATATTGTTTACTTTTCAGGTAATTTATCACATCTTTTCGTTTTGCCCTGTCAGCCATTCCCTGAACATTCATGCTAACAATAGATATCTTATTAGTCATAGATTACGTTTGATGGCACATTTATAATTTTTAGGAATTGATAAAACATGGAAAAAAATAAATATGAAAATACTTCTATAAATTCTGGTATATTCCACTGTATATAATTCCTCTCCACAAAATAGTAGAAGAAACTCGAACCTTCCACCAAAACCCTTAAAAAAACCTTTAATGTAATTGTTGATTAAATAAAGAAATTTCATGTTTAATGTATTTTAGCTTTTAAAAATGGAAAAGGTAAACAACTTTAGAAAATGCTAAACAGTGAAAAACTTATTCAAGTTGGTATCTATGTTTGCATATTTTCATGATTCCTCTTATTATATAATCTAAACAATGCTAATAGCTACCATAAGTCCTGATGCAAAATTAGTTTTAGTTAAACAATAATGCAAACCTAGTTCCTTAAAAAGGTAAACAAAGAATAGAGAAAAAAAATCAAAATACACAATGAAGCAATAATTTTGTACACAAAAAAGTGATTAAGTTGTACAACATTTTTTAATAACAGTCTGTGATTGTATGATATTATCATTCAATTTTGCACCATATATTTGTAGGTAACATAAACGTACTTGTAAAACTTAATGTTATAACTACAAATGCACTTCTTATAATTGTAATCAATGTAATTCTTGCACTATTCTCTAAAAATTAATTGTGTAATTTATAGTCATGAGAAAGATGTTAAATAAAAAAAATGCATGCCACAGAAGTCAGCCCCAAACATTGAACGGACTTCAGCCTTAGGTTTCCTAGGCTTCAGTCCGTTAAATTTGTGCCGTCACTATAATTCTATGAGGCTTTGTATACCATTTCTCAAACAGTCGGAAATATTATTAGTAATTAAGGCTGGCGTAGGGATCATAATATGGATAACACTAACTACTTCCCATAAACAAACTCTTAAAAACTGAGTCTTGCAATTTCACCTTTCGTTGCATTTCTGTGTTGTCAAGTTTCTTTAGTCTTTCTGGATCAATGATGCAAGTTGTTAAGGATTTGAATACCGCGTAAACCGGTGCTAGGGGGCGTTAGTTGCCATTTCCACTACCTCCCTTGAAAACACCCAATATAAGCGAGTATTGACAAATGACAGTATTAAGTCTCATTTAGTAGTCAAACATTAAGTTTCTAGCTATTATAAACGTAAACTTGACGTGGAAGTACAAAAAGGGTTAAAAAGATAAAGCGGAAGTCATAAATACTACTAATAAATACAGTACAAAGTAATTTTGGTTGGGTTTTACGCCGCACCAAACACAGTAACGATGAAATCGTGAATTAAAAGACAATACAATACAATACGATTCCATACGATATATACGATACTTTTCAAAATGATACTTAACGATACGATGCGATTCATTACATGACATTACATTACATTACATAACACTACATAATATAACATAACATTACATTACAGTACAGTACAGTACAGTACAATACAGTACATATCATTTGATTACATAACATAACAGTACATACCATAACTTAACAGTACATTACAGTACATTACAGTCCACTACATTTAATTACATAACATAACAGTACAGTACATAACATTGCAGTACATTACATTAAATTACATTACATAACATAACATTACAGTACAGTACATAACGCAACATAACATTACATTACATAACATTACAGAACAGTACATAACATAACATAACATAGCATAACATTACATTACATTACAGTACATAACAGTACATAACAGTACATAACAGTACAGTACATATCATTGCAGTGCATTACATTACATTACAGTACAGTACAGTACAGTACAGTACAATACAATAACTACATTATCATAAATATATTAAATAAAGAATGGGGGACAATAATACATGTTTACATTATTTGTTTATGGATTCACAGGCACCGAATAACATTTCTTGATAAAATGATAATAAACATATTGTACTGTCAGCCATTCTTTAATATTTAAGTGGACCATCTTCAAGGACATTTTGACATGATGGCTATACTTGTGGCATTCTTTCATTAACATAACGATGCTATCTGTATATAAATTTGATAAAACAAGATTTTAATTGATTAATTAATCACGTGGGTATATAAGACAATGGATTAATCATATTGTATGATCAAGGTAATAAGTGGATAAACTGTTTGTTGTTTATGTAACTAGCCTACTATAGACACGGTGTCGCGAAGTTCCGTGCATTTTTATTCACCCTTTAATAAAAAAAAAATATATATATAAAAATAAGCATTTCTTGTATATAAAATAACACTGGTTGGTCTAACTGAATTATTTATGATTGAGTCTTTGAAAGAGCTATTGCAGAATAGCCCGCTTGTGCTCATTTATTATTATTTCATGGTATAATGTACAACTTCTAAGAATACTGACACCGGATACCAGCTGTATGCGATTTTAACATTTTTATCAAAACACTTTAAATATGGGATTAGGTTTAAAGCTTAATTTGTGTTAAGTAATTGTTATTAATTGGATTACAAAAGTTTAGTGGTCGTACAAAAATAAAATGAGTTCCCAGGAAGAAAGGCGTCTTTCGGAGATAAGGGATATGTTAGACCCTAAAGAGGTAAGGAGCCGGGTTTTTCGTGCCTTATATATACCTGATTTAAAAAAATGATCGCATGTTTATACTTATATGTTGTTGCGTAAACTTTTGGAGAAAACCATGTTCGAACTAAAGAGATCAGGAAAACTGATGTTACCAATTTGAAAAGGATATAAAATTAAATTATGACAGACAGTTTTAAAACAATGATAAAAATGATGGTTTTCAGTCAAATAACAAAGAATAAATAAATATATAACTTCGTTTCTCATCTGAAAGGAACCCTTTTTGCAGTGTTGAATTTTTTTTTCAATTTACCCATTTGATTAGTGCAGACCACAATCAGCGTGCTGTCTGATGGCTAGGACTATTCGCAATTAAGTCAATATTTAATTTGAAATTTTCCTCTAAAAACAATAAATTGTTTTGCTCAGAATGAAAGTTGAACAAGTCTATTTAAGATATTCTGCGTGATATGGGTTTAACGTGAAATAAATTAGAATAAAGATTAAAAATCTTTAAAGGCCCATTATGGCAAAGAAATGCTTTTAATTTTATTTCTCAAAACTTTTTTATTTTTGTTGTACTTTTATAATTTCCAAAACGTTACATTTTAATCAACTACTTAAACATTTTTTTGTTTACTTCTGTTGCAATAAGTTCAGTTATAGTTTGCTAGTTTTTTGTATGGAAGTCAAAATACTACTTTGTTTATGTCTTGCCACTTTGATGAAAAATTATTTCGCATTTAGTGCTAATTACTTTAGATAACAAACATCTACGTGCTATAAAACCATTATTTTTTAACGTTATAAAATTCATGTTTACCATTTCTAAAGGAGTAAAATTTATTCATTTCTGAGGCAAACTGTGCCTTTAAATTTTAATTTTTAAATCAATGTTAAGACGAAAGCAAACACTTTGTAGCTACTGAATTAGTTAGTATGGCTGCTTTGTTTAATTTATTCTATTCAGTATATGAAGTATTTTTTATTCTTGTTTTTATCTTTTTCATCTTAAAGCATGCAGGTATGACTAAAGTATACATGAAGCAGACGTTAATGAATATCACGTGATCTGCTTCATAATGCATTCGTTTTTCTAGCCTACTGAACATATTTAGACGTCCAATTCAATGTGTTTTTCAGCATTAAATCATTATGCCAATATCAATTTTATTTCTTGTTTTATCTTTTTCATCTTAAAACACTTTTTGAATTTGCTGCAGGTATGACTATATATAAATGAAGCAGACGATAATGAATATCACGTGATCTGCTTCATAATGCATTCGTTTTTTACAGCCTACTGAACATATCTAGAAGTTATCTTAAATGTGGTTTTTGATTCAACAATAAATCATTATGCCAATATAAACTTTAAAATCAAAGTCATTAATGTTTAATGATTAATAAATTTAAGATTTTCTTTCATCTCCGTTACGCATAGTCTTTCTGGGAAATATACCATTAACAGTTAAATGTATCAATTTTAGTTCTTAAAATAATAATAATAATAATAATAATAATAATAATAATAATAATAATAATAATAATAATAATAATAATAATAATAATAAATAGAATAAAGTGGTAAACAAATCGGATAATCAGTGTTAAGTATCAATACATTGTAATTTTTATTGTTGAGTTTTCTATCGTGCTTTGCGTAGCGTTAATTAGGCGCTAATTTAAATCAGATTTGGTCATTTATATAAAAGAATCAATGATTTAACAACTTGTATATAATTGACGATTTTTATTATTCTAGTTCGATATATGGGGCCTTATCAGGCGGGCGAACACAACGGACCCGTACATACTTATGGCAAAACATCGTATGAACAAAAGCCCTTCAAAACGAGCAAAAACCACCGGTAAATTGGTAGGCCGACGGCGTCGTCGGGTGTCGACGGCGGAAAGCGTTGATGGAGATTCGAACAGAAGCGTGACCAGCCTTGACATGTATGATGAAGGGCCAGGAGATGACTTTGACTTTGATGGTAAGTTTGATTTTTGTCGTCTGATTGATTTAAGGCATTCCATTCCATGTACATGCCGGTGTACTTCGCAATGCTTTTCATCAAATCAGGCTTAGAATAGCACAAATACGATTTTCGATACAAGTATATTTCTGAGTATTTTTCTTAATAATCTTATTCAAAATTTTCTGTTTCATGTGCTGTAAGAAATTCAAATGATATATTTCAGGCTCTTTAATTCATTTGTAATATACTACACACATGTAGCATAAAATGAAAGATAATACATCATAAAGTAATTGGATTATCTATAATTTAATTGAAATTTTAAAGCAACAGAGAGCAAAAGTTATCCGTGTCTATGCACCACTCTTAAGAACACTTTCTACAAAAATGACCAAATTAGAAACTTATGTTGTTTATTGAAATCAACATAACCGCTTTTCTTGCTATTATCCTTTTTTGTTAACTCTCTCAGTGTGCTGACTTTGGGTGTCGTCGTTTTTTTGTTGCTGTAATTATTATTGTTGTTGTTGTTGTTTGTAATAAATATCGTGTTCACAATTTAACAGCGGAGGAAGAGGTTCACGATTCACGCTCACCAATGGAGCACTGCCAAGATATGTACAACAAGGCATGCAAAGAGTTTGGCGTCCACCCAGTTGCAAATTTTCACAACGCCCTGAAAACAGACAAGTGCGTGTTACGTCATAGACAGATGACAGCAGACGAGATAAAAGCAATAGCAGTTGCGTTAGTTGTAAGTTCAAAGCGCAGTTTTCTTTATTGTTAAACATTTGCCCAATTGCCCACCCTTTTAGATAAGAAAGGTTTAGAAAAGACAAAGTTATACAATCAGTGAACAAGTGAAAATTTACAGTAATCTTTTATCATGCAATTAATTTTTATCTTTCAAATTGTACGTAAATAAAGTTCCCATCAAGACTAATTTAAAATTTACATATACATGTACATGCCTGTTAAATGTTTTAAAACCATGAAGGTATACCAATACAAGTATACTTATGCTCAAAAAATGCTCTAAAGAATACAGTATAGGTTAAACCAAGCTGAGCTGGTATCCACACTTATTAGATCTTTCGCCAACTTAATAAGTTTTATTGGTGAAAAAAAGGAATTTGGGTGGGATTAATAATTCATATGATCAATGTCAAAGGTATTGAGCGACTAAACTGCTTTACTGTTTGAATTGAAGACCCTCACGTGAGTTGTTCTCTCGGAGCAATATTTCAGTTACATGGAGCCGGGTAGATCACATTAAAAAGATATAGACGAATAAACCGAAGTAGTGGGGTGCAAAGTAAAAATTACTTTTGCCATAGAGACTGGCATCATATTGAAGAAAAAATAGATCTGTAAAAAAATCGAACAAATACGTAATGACTTCAGAGCATTTTGTTCTAAATAAGAACTTATTACTAAAAAAACTTGTATTGAAAGAA